TAGGCACCACCTAGCTGCAATGCACTGCACGCCACTTATATTTGATAAAACTTAGTTACTCCCAGAGGGAGTATTTACTCTTCCCATTTTACTCATCTACAAAAATTAATGACCAAGTTTTATGAGTTCAAGGCATGCTCACGATAGTCAACTTCACACATCGATTACAGTTTTCAATACACTATGGCATGTCATTGTGTTCCAGAGCAGAAACTGAAGTGTCGATAGTGATGTCTACAAGAGGTTCTAACGCTATGCCAGAGTGAACCTTCCCCAAGTCAAAAGAATTATTGGGGCCTCCAAGCGTAACCAACACACACTAAAGACAAACAGCTCAGCTGGCAGCATTCACTCATCTCCGGCCTGAGGTCAAGCGGATCAAAGGAGAAGACAGGGATCAGAGAGATGCTTTGAGGTCCCCTGCAGAAACAAAGAGGCCGTGAAAAATAAGAGACTGCACTGTGGGCCCTCACCACTATGAGTTCAAGAAGTGGGTGGGCACACAATCTCTGACCAAGAGAAAATGAGATAATGTTATCTTCTGATCCTACCATGTGTGTATCTGTAAAGGACTGAGGAAGGGTTAGGGATAAACTGAACTTATATCACCTCTAAGGGTACCCTTCCAAGGGTAGTCAAATCCTTAGTTTGAGACATACGGGTCTGCATTTTAATGCGCACTTCTAAAAACCACACCGAGAAAGTCTAAGGCACTTACTGATGTGTTCATTAAAATGGTTATCGCACATGGGTTATTGCTGTAATTAACCATGATCTGTTCCACTACAAAATATGAGAGGGAAAATTAAGCAAGTTCCTGCTATGCCCACATCCTGAGTGAAGCATAACATTTTTGTGCATGTTTCTTCCAACACAAAAAGCCTGGCTGTGGAAGGAAAAGGTGGACTCTCAGCCTGACTTGGAAAACCTAAGGAAATCTGTCTCAAACTGACAAAGAATTACATCGCCATTAATATGGGAGGATTCATTTGAAAGAGTCATCTTTCTTCTCTGGGCCCATACTATCCTCCAATATTTTAATTAATAATACTTTTACAACATTTAAATGCTGTGGTTTACAGCAGAGCTTATTGCAGCACTTGCCCAAATAAGACAGCTACTTCCATCGGTTTCTTTGATTCTGAGGTGGAAAACAAGTGGCAACAGCACAGCCCCACAACAAAGCACCAACCCATAATTTAAATGAGCTGGACTGACAAGGCATACAGTAACCATCATGCTGGCTCAGTGCAGAAAACACTGCAGAGATTACTGAAGATTAAGAGAACCATATGTGAAGCACACGGCTTTATACAAGGAAAAACATGATTTCTGTACTAGTACTGGAACCAATTTGGTTTCATACATTAGAAATTAAATCATTTTAAGCCTCACTAGGGGAGACTACTGCTGACATCTCATGTCAGCAAGAGGGCAATTTCCCAACATAGAGAAAGCCTAGAGGGGCCACCTCTCACCCTGCAATTTATCACACCAGCCAAGATCGGATGGCGAGCCTCAGCTATCAGCTCCTCAGGATAAACTCCAGACTTTTGGAATTCTACGTACTGATGGCTGAACTGAGGCTGCTGTTAGGCCACTCTGGAAGGACCCATGTTTTAGGTTTGATTCCCCTCCCCCCTTTATTTCACATGGGAAAACATCATTGAGGCAGTAGTGGCTTGGGCTAAGCCAGGGCTGTCAAGCCGCTGGTAGGGATGGGAGATCCCCGCCCACAATTTCTTTTTTAAATGCAGCCTTATCTACTTACTTTAACAAAGGGTAGCTCTAGGAATCATCCGAAACTCTATGGTTTTACCATAGAGTTTTTGGTGAGCCCTAGAGCTACCTTTTATCACTTCTGGAGCAATACTCCCTCTAAGCTGTGAAGTCTTGTGAGCAAAAATTCTACATTGTGAGCTATCAGCATTAAAGTTGTGAGTGAGTGAATTGGCTGCTGCATAAATTAGTTTGCTCTGGAGCCATCCTTCCTGAGCTAAAACAAAAATGTGTGAGCCGGAAGCTAAAAAACAGTGAGCTAGCTCACACTAACTCAGCTTAGAGGGAAGACTGTTCTGGAGTACTCATTGTTACTTCTGGTAAGAACTCCCGGTAAGGACGTTGGGCTGTGTTTTTTTTTTTAAAAAAGAAATTATCCTGCAATGCTGCATGTCTCCAACCATCCCACCAGTTTCCCAGGCTGGTCCCAGCAACCCTAGGCTAAGCATGGGTTACTAAAAATGTCTGCCTTAAGACACTTCAGTCTTTGGGGACTGAAACACACTTGAAGGTTTGAGAACAGAGTGATCGTTCCACTCTATCTAGCACTTCTTCACAACACACTTAAGCCAACTGTAGACACCATAGGCAGAATATCCTTCGTAGATGTTTGGATTCTATTTCCAGGAATAACTACAATACTTGAACTTATTTTATTAATCCTGAAAGTTATTATGGTAAATAGCAGAGTGAGGAAAGAGCTCATAGTGACAAGCTAGCAGATAATTCAAAGTTGCACAACATGCTGGCTGTTCTGCAAAAAGCTGAGATTCCTTACACATTGCAGCTGTAGAACTATTTCTTGGAAAAAGCAAAATGCAGCTTGCACGCTTTCTGCAGAGGAGAATAATAGTTTACTGTGGTGTCGTTCTTTTTAAGAAGGGAGAACAAAGAGCAAACGCTTCTGCAGAATTGATAAATCAATCGGTGGCACTGCATACTAATTTAGCACCCACATTAAAAGTTTGCTGTAATTAAAAATTACTTCTGCGGTTAAACGACTGTGCACAATCCTTTCATAAAGGTCAGAAAACAAGAACGACCCGAATAGCTTTTTATTAACAAACATTTATGAAGTGTGGGCAAGTACTTAAAAAAAAGAAGAAGAAACAATTGTTCCACCAAGCTAAAAATCTAATATATGCAAGGGAAAGGAGAGAGAATGGGAGCCAGATCAGTAACATTCCTAATAATCATGGTGTGAAATTCAAAAAGTGATAGAAGTTGTCTCAGATTATGAATGAGTACACAGAGTCCTGCCATATAAAGAAAGGCAGGATTTTTTTAAAATGCTACCACAATATTAGGAAACTTGGACAAGCTACAGGAGTAAGGCCAACTACTGAAAAAGCGGTAACTGCCCTAATTAAAAGTGGATTGCATTTATCAGTTACTAAAGTTATTATTGCCAGACAGACATATTGAACTCTGCCTTTTTGTAGCTATACAATAGATTGACAAACAGCTTTGTCATTCTACCTCACCCAATTCCCTTCCTTTTTACTGCCCCCCTTCCCACGTGGCTTATGCCCATGCAGGTCCCGTGACCCCCAGCATAACCTTGATGCTAGTCAAAGGAGGCTTCCTCCTCTCCTTTCCATCAGTGGGAAAAGCGGCTGGATCCCACCTGGCATATGACGACTCAGATCAGGAGCTGTCATTCTAAAAATTAGCAGAGGCCAGCCCAACGGTTTGTAGCGTAACTCAATTATCAACAGGACTTCAAACAGGGTGGAACAGAAAAGCATACAATTCAAAAAGACATGGCAAAGACTCTAAATGAACTTTTTTTTATATAGGCTAGTGTCTATTGTGTAAAGAATGACAATAAAGACTTTAAAAGAAGGCATTCCAAAAATGTAGAGAAATGTTTCTTTTCAAAAGTCTGGAAAGAAAGTCCAGAACATCTGTGTTGGCAAAATAAACAAACCTGCAAAAGTTGTCTTGCATGTAAAATATTTGCCCATTACAAACACACACACACACACAGAGAGACCACAACAGACACCCTGTGAGGCAGGTGGGGCTGAGGGAGCCCTTTCAAGAATTGCTCGAGAGAGAGAGAGAGAGAGAGAGAGAGAGAGAGAGAGAGAGAGAGAGAGGGGCTCCAGAACAACAGCCGATATTTTAACAGAGCTTGTAGCAAGAGCTGTTCTTCAGGTTTATGGATTGCATCCTTGAAGAAGCCAGCCTAATAGTGCAATCCTAAATGGAATTACCCTCTACTAAGTCAGTTGAAGTCAATGGGCTTAGAAGAGTATAAGTATGCTTAGTATTGCATTGTAAGAGATCCACTTTCCTGACTGATATTAATTGTGAAGGCATCACTGAACCCAACCCATCTCCTTGAGGTGGCAGTACTCACACAGAGATCTGCGCACAGGGAAAGGGGTATGGCAGAACAGTTACTACCTTTGCAAATGTTTCCAAATAATTTTCCATCTATCCTCTTTTATATTCAAAAACTACAACAGCCAAAGTTGAGTTTGTTATGAATTGTGTGTCCTAGATGTTTGACTATCTTCCTCTCCAAAATCAAATGCAATACAATTGCCGGGGAGACCATCGCTTTAGCAATGCCATTTCCACAACGAGTCTTGGATGCGTTACAAAAGTTAGGCTATTGTATAATGTAAGCATAAATATCAGGTTGCATCACAGTACTAGTAACGGACCACACGTTGCAATATGCTAAAACTTAAAGGCTGCCAAACTTGTGATCTGGGAGTGATTAGGAAAAGAATGCTACACAATCGTTTCTAATTGTAATCCTTCATGCATATTTAAAAACAGTGTGCATGAACACAGTTTACAATTAATTTGCATGGCTCCTTTGTACTGTATTACTTTTAAAGATGAGACAACCCAACCATTAATCTTAGGAAGTGTTGGCAAATCAGTTATAATTCCAATGAAGAGGAAACTGTCTGGATTTCAAAACAGCACATTTGCTGTAAGAAAATAAATGCTTTCTTCTGCTGTCTAACAATTTAGCTCATGTCAAGACATATAATTTCATGTTTTAAACACTTCCATGTCCAAACACATATTTTTATGAGGATTTTAGGACTTAAAAGTGCCCATCTTAAGTAAAAGACGGTCTTTGACTTGGCGGTTATACTAACATTGCTTCCCTATAAGAGACTGGAACACAAAGCACACTGAATACCTGTTGTGCAGAAACTGCTCTCAAGGTGGCATGCACAGCAGAGAGCCCTTACCAATTTCTCATCGACTGTGATGAGCTGCATGTCTTGGGCTTGGTCCTGTGCCAGCTGCCATGTGGAAGTGTTCAGTGACCTGCAGTGCAAGACGTGAAGTTAAAAAACGATTCATTCAATGAGAAAATAGAGGCAGACAAATCTTACATAAACAAGTTACTTCAACAATATCCGTCTTGTGGGGGGGAAAAAAGGAAGAGTGAGATGAGGGCACAAAAATCCCTCCCCCCCCCAATTAGTTCTGTCTGCTGAGTTTTTGGCAGACGACCACTTTGCAGTTCACAACAGGCTGCACTTCGTGTCAGCCTACAGGCTCTCCATCACTGAAAGACTGCCAGTGGCAAGGACTGTACTACCCTATGAAAGTACAGTAGCTGGTTTGTCACGGACAACCGGGGGGGGGGGGGGGTTGCACAA